TTAACAGAGTAAGCGTAAATTGGCGAGAGCGACGATCAACCTGCCCCCCCCCCTGCTCTCCGTGCACTCAGGGTCACGCCGGCATTTTAGGCGTAAATTAGCTGTATGACTCCACTGTGGCGCTGTTAACAAACGGAACACAAACAGAACACCGTCACAATACAAACCAAACGCCTACATTAACGTTTACATATATAATTCAACTTCTTACACGCCAGGAATGAAGATAGGGTGCAACATGCAGTACCCACCTAACCCTCTCCTCTTCTTTTCACGCCATACTCTTTGCACATACATAAATATGGAGTGTTGCATATCCTGCGGGCACCCTCTGATCGACAGAGGCGCAGAGAAATGTCTTCAATTTAGCAAGACTATTAGTTTCTCTCCGTCTGCTGACGGCAGGAGTGGAGAGCCTGCAAGATTGAGGGCATGAACTGGCTTCTACATGGGCTTGGGCTGAAAATGGCACCGTCTCCCTGCCAGATGCGGCCACCTTCGAGACAGCCAAATTTAACATCTACAACCTACTCAAAGCAGAGTTTATGAGCAAACAGAACCTGGACAACAGAATCAACGATATAATCAGGAGTGGCATGGCCGCTGCCTACGGGTTGAAGGATTCGGAATCCGAGGTAGACGATTCGAGCGCGTTCATGCATCGCATGGACGCCATCTCCGGTGACATTGAGTTCACCTGTGGAACGCAGAAATTTTCCCAACGGAATGCGCAGCTGCCCAATGCCGCGGGTCATTTCTTCACGTTTGTGCACAAAACGTGCGAGAACGGGTTTCCGGACTGGACGGGTGTAATGCACGGCTATGAAATCGACTACGTCTTCGGGATGCCATTTTCTGAGCAAATTTAAGCGCGAATTTTATAAGTACGCTGAGGCCGAGGCAGGAATGAACCTAACTGTTATGGCATGTTGGGAAAATTTTGCTCGAACTGGGTAAGGTTCCGACTAGTCTGTGCCTTGTGTAGAATCCTACATTGGGTCCCAGATCAGCAAGCGAAAGGCCCATCCTTCTGTTATACAGGACCGGGTGTTATTACCGGTATCCTATCCGGGCAATAAGAAGGAAAGGAAATATAAATAAAAAGTTTTTCAAGGTAAAAAACAGGAATATTTTTTAACTAGTAAAATGTGTCTGAACAAAACGCAAGCCATAACTAAAGTGTGCAATTGTGCAAATATTGGAAATTAACTTAATTAAAAATAACTCACTAAAACTAAAATCAGCTAACTTAAAACGC